CCCCCCCCTTCGAACCAGGCACGCCAACGTCGCATGATAAAGTGGGCGTGACCTCCAAAAAAAATTTAAAAAAAAAACGAAAAAGTTACCACGCAATGATTTTCATCATTTAGCTATTGCTCTCGCACATCGATTCACTTCTTCAAAGCGTATATAATTAATTTGGTAAATAACTATGATTAATACAAAATGTTCTCTTTTCTTTTATATCTGTGATACGTTCTCCCTTGTGTGTATAGAGAAGGCACAGCTGAGAAATAGTATAGAGCGATGATTGCTGAAACTGTGATGCTAAGTGTAAATGCTAACGGTTCTCTGTGCAGGAAATTGTGCATGTTGCTGTTTCTCTTGAAAAAAGTTTAATGTTAAATTTAACTATTTAACATGTTAAAATCATCCTGCTGTGCAATAACGCTATTTAATATACGCTTTTATATAAACAATACACCCGAGAGCGCGTGGAATGTTATGTTTCTCGAAGAAATGAATCGAATCGTTGCAGAAAATTTAATATCGTTCGTAAGAAGTATAATTACAATTGTACGATCGAGGCGAATCTTTCTTTTCTCAATAGCTACTTGATGATACTGAACGATACGATAATTTTGCACGTCGATGAAAACCTCTTGCGTTTCAATTACATGTCCAATGTGAATATTCGAAGCAAGAACAATTTAGATAGCAAAGAAATCCTCTATTTTGAACCGACGTAATAAAATAAGAACAATCACTCCCTACAAATTGATTATATGAAAAAAACGAGAAAAAAGAAATAAAAGTAACGAGTTAGCGCAATTTAAACGAAGATTGCTTTTACTGTTTAATCTCATAATGCAATTTCTCCTACCCATTACTATTACGATTATCTTTAATTGAATTTAACGAAACGCTCGTTTTGTTACATTGTAAACGTCAGTGGTGAAATAAAGCAGAAAGGAAGTTGTTTTGTGAGAAAATAAAGAACAATGTTTTATAACGATTCTTTCTGATGTGTACTGTAAAAATAAAGTTTCTAATTTTATTACAGCGAAATATATATTACAGGCATCTCGCTCTCTTAGTCGTGATATATCGAAATACGTGTCACCGCTACAGAGTAATATTAGATATATAAACGCCGTATTAACATATACAATCCAACGCATTTGTGGTTTACTTCCAGATTCATTTCATTTGTAGTTTAATTTTCTCTACATAAACATATCACCATAACCCGGAGGGGGCAAATGGTCGGCATCGGGTCTGAGACGAGATGGTCTTGGAGGTTCTAAATCAGGTGGAACAATCGGATCGAATCTCGCACCAGGTGGTATCGCGCCTCTACGAGAAAGAAATTATATATGTAATCGAAGATAAAAGACAGCTCTTAAATTAGAAACGACGCCATCATATTTACGTACGAAGGTAATATCCCAGGTATCCCAAGACTTTCTGGTACGCGTGCATATGGATGACCGCCGAAAGGATTGAATATCATCCCACCACCTTGTCCACCCGGATAAAGATCAGCAGCACCTACTCTCCCAGGATCGGTGTTATCCGGAATCGGATTACGCGACCTTAAGCCATAATACAAAATTACGATAGATACTTTAGGAAAATCTAAAAAGAAATAAATAAAAAGGGACACTGTAAAAATGTTTCAATTAATTCAATAAAAAATGAGTCATTAATTGATTCGCTAATTCAATCATGATCTCCCTGTAAAAGTAAAAAACAATACAGTATAATCATAGAGTGGAATTTTTGTATTCCGTATTTATAAAATTTAATAGTTTTATTCTGAATAAGATAGAATTCTCCCTCCTCAGAGTTCTAAGATATGCTAAATATGGCTTCAACTTGTATCATCAATGTTCTGCAAGGTTTATAAAGTACAGAAAAGGTATCGTGCAAAAATAATAACATAAAATATAATTTTGTACTGTTAAAAATATGATAATTTTATCAAGAGAGAGATTCCCACGGATGTATCTCAATCTTGTTTGAGAATTGCAATTGGAAGAATCAAAACTTGAGCTACTTGCACGTATTTACTAAATGTCTATTTACCAATATTTACAATCCAACGGAGGACGGTCTCTTGTGCACGACGATGTATTAGATGCAGTTGTTTGAGTCCCTGCTTCCTTAACATTTCCCAGATCAATCAGACTGAACTTATACAATGGTTTCAAAAAATCTTTTTGTAGCCGACGTATAATCTTCTCGTAGGATGGTATTATAGTTTCCAGAGGTCCATGTAGTCCTAATACAGTTCTCTCAATTGCGAATGCAATATTGGTAATAGAATCGTCCTCAAGCTTCTGTAAAATATATAATATCAATGATATAATAAATACATATTCCACCACATACACGCATTGCTGTCAATCAGTAGTAAATTAATTTTAATTCTATTGTTACATGCTATTGCAAATTACCACAAGGTTTATAAGTATCTCATCATCCGCTTTGATCCCACTGAGCAAAAACAATTTGCCATTTCTAATGTAACGCAATGTGTAACTGAGATCTATGTTCCACTCCTTGGGAAGCAATTCTGACCCTTTCTCTGATGCGTCAAAAATGATCTGTGGAATTATGCAAATTCAAATATTCTTAGATTATAACATCCTAATCAAACATATTACAGGTTAGAATCCTTTAAAACATTGGAAAAATTTACTGTGAAAAGATATTTCTAATGCAAGAATAACAATGGAGAAAAAAAACGTAATATTCGAATATTATTACAGGATGTTTTGATCAAGAAACTTACATTATCTCCAGTGCCGATACATCGAAGTCCATGTTTCACTAGATACCAATGCGCAAACAAGATTATTACGTCTTCTTTTTTCTGGATTTCATTATAATGCAATTTGTACAGAAGATCAAAACCAAACGTGTCACTCGCCATTCTGACACTCACTGAGGCATTAGTGTGCAATTTTTCGAGCGTACGCTCAGGAGAATACAATCCGGGAAGTACGAACTTGTATCTTGGAAAACAGAGGACAATTCCAGCGCCATCTGTTCTTGGACTCTGATGGGATCAAATTATTGGTTTGTTCTTTTTAGCTGAACTGGCTTCACTATTTCAAGAAATTTAGATATACATTGAAACATATGAAGCGAGATATACGAGATCTTCACGCTTCAGTCTGCATGCATTTCTTGATCTAATGCGACCAGTTCAGTTAAAAAGAACAGACCATTAACGAATTATGAGGATATCGGAAGGTAATGTAGAGTACGTAATTATTTATACACATACACGCACACACATATGCAGAAAGAGAAAATTATATACTTTTCATTTCGAATATATCTTTAGAATCTGGCTATAAGCTGCGCTAATTCCAAACTTTAATAGTTAATATTTCAAATGTTACAACAATCTTTTACACTAATGCAGAAAGTTCAGCCAGTAACAATCTATAAAGAAAAATAATCTTTATTTCCTCCATAAATTATACTGTTTTGTTATAATTGTGTAGTTAATTCGTTTAAAATACAAATTTGTGTATGTACATACGCTTATATACAAGTATTCAGGTTCCATTTATATCTTGAATGACAGCACTAGATGTGTGTATGTAAATAAATATTGAAACAATAAAAAGTACATATATGTAATATAAAATAAAATTGTAGAAGGTAGTAACTATTTATATTGACGGTATCAAAATAACGACATTTTCAAGATGGGTGAGTATTTAAAATGAAATATCAGTAATCGGATTCAGCATCAGTGTCCATGTCATATGCAGATTCCGGCTGATTACTATCGATTTCTTCTTCACTTTCAGGTTGAGATCTGTCCTTCTGATCTAAGGCGTATCGTCTCCAAGGAAATCTGCAAAGAATGCATTATTTGTGAGAATTTATAATTTCACAAATTACAAGAAGAATCCCACAATGTATGTAAGTGTGTACCTCGTTTTCTTATCGAAACACTCCTCAATAAAGGTATGAGAGACAATCTTTGTATGTTTCTTGAATTGTTGATATTTAGGTGTATTTTTGAAGGCACAAATCAAATAGGTGCATTTTTTATTGGTTGTATTTGGATCAGGTATATACTTGGCACCCATGTTCAGTGCTTTCCTTCTGATTTCATCTCTCTTTGGATTAACGTATCCACTGAGCGAGAAGGTGACGCCACTGAATAGCTCTCTGAACGGTTTTTTACATCTCACAGGGGTATCGTGTTTTGTTTTCGGAGTAGCATTTCCGACGGTTGCCGGCTGCGACAGTCGTTGACAAGTCTTGCACGGTTGATCCTCTAATTCCTTGCTGCATTCTGCACACTTCTGTTTCTTCTCACTGTATCCTACATCCGATGAACTCTCCACTTCACTCGGAGGACGTTTCTTAGAATTTGAAGGACTCTTGGTGGTGTCTTTTATACTATTTTTAACAGTATCTTTTGAAGGCACAATATCCCCGAAGGGAGTTCTCACAACTACCTTTTCCTTCGGCGTATCTTCCGTATTTTTAGCTTCTCTATTAGGTGTTTCCTTTTTATTCTTCTTATCCTTTGGCGGTTGAACTTTATCCTTCTTCCCGAAAACTTCGTCAGCCTTGCCAGCTTCTAGCTTTTCCAATAACGGCCTTTTCATAGGCTTCTTCTCCTCCTGAGATCTGGAGAAACTCTCAACTGAATTCTTTTGCATTTGCTCGAGTAACTTCTTATAATCCGTTTTCTTCTCTTCTTCCGTTTTAGCGAGTTTCTCTCTCATCATCTCTAAGGGCGTCTTTATGACATGCGGTTGCTTCAATTTAAATCTGCCGAACATGTCTAGGCCTAAATCAGCCGCAGTGTCTGACCGTAAGACAATGTACGACAATCCAAACAGTACTCTCATATTTGCCGATTGCATACAGGTGACCTTGACCCGATCGAATTTAATCTTCATCGTATCCGGATTCAATTCCCTCTTGGTGAATATTTGCACTTGATCTTTGAACATACCGTTCGAAGCTCGGTCGTTTGTCATGAATCTATGGTTCACTATAACTATCCAATTGTCGGGTTCAGATGTCGTTGATGCGGTGACGATAACCACACAACTCTGAAAATTACCGATTTCAACCCCGGTGATGTAGGAGGATTCGGCGAGCTGAAAGATGACGTGAGCCAGCATCTCTCCCGGTTTGGCGCATCGCCACGTGTTGCATCTTTCCGAATTGCGTTGAAGGAGATTGGCAGCAGGATACGATGGATGCTCCGAAGAGTAGCTTATTATCTTTTCGAATTTCACGATCATCCTTGACAATTCTCCCGAATACTCGGTTGCCCAAATTATCTGTAAACATTGTCATGTTAATATTTAGCTTATGCTCTGCTTATACACGTGCAATCACAGTAAAAGTAAAATATCTTTAATTTCTTACTCGGGTTTAAGATGAACGAGTTGCCGCCAAATATGCCATCACGCGTATGCGGTACAATCTAACCTAACCTACAACGAGACAAAACATTAGAGTGACGTACGAGAAAAATACAATAAGGTAGATAAGACGTTTAAAGTTCAAATAGGGAGGAGTATTAAACATACATAAATATATATGTGTATATATATATAATTTTCCTTGTATTTTTATAATATGAGATGAAAGTGAATCTTAAACAATGAATATTAAATATAAGAATAGTACGGCTTTTTGTGGCGGTTCTTTCTTCTGAATATTATACCATTCGTTGAGACGTTAGCGCTCCTCCGGATAAATAAAGCCGTTACCAACATAAACCAAGATAAATCCTCACAAGGTAACATCTTGTCATGGCGCGTGGGCTGACTAACTTCCGCGCACATTCAGCCGAAATAATATGAAATAATGTACAAAAATTAATGGTATACTATTGAGGAATAATTGTATATAATTTTTTCATATTCTTATAGCCTTTATTTCCATACGGGAACGTACTTTAGGTATTTTTATCCATTATATAAATGATCACATAGTTCATCCGAAAGTGGAACAACCGACTTTTATGTAGATCCAGAAGGGCTATTATAGTTTTCAAGATGAGGAGAATTACAAATATTAACAAATTTACATTGGCGTTGACCAATGAAATTATAAATATTCTAACAAGTTTGCTCACTTTTTCATCATTTTCACCTCTTGAAAACGGTATACAGAAAAAAAAATCTAGTTGCATTAACCAGAAAGAGAACAGTCAGATGCGTTCCAATTGTAAGAAATAGATAGTCTTTAGAAAGAAATGTGCATATCGAAACACATGAAGAATACATACAAAAATTCTCACGCTTCGGTACATATGAATTTCTTAAACTAGTGCAGCCGGTTTAGTTGCAAAGAACAGACCAGGAATTTCTTATAACCTAAATGTGTTTCTTACAACCGGAAATCCCGTTTCCTTCAATCAAAATGCCTCTGGTTATTCCCTTTCTGATTAATACAAACTCTTTCATACCAAAATTTTCAGTACCGAACTTTTTTCCGCGCAACGGCTCTTCAAACTAAAGAGAAAAAGATGACGAGGTAAAATACCGACTGTCGGTAAATCAGCACGCGATCGATAAGACACCGACAAGAGACCGGCCTCTCTCGCTGTTCCCGCTCGCCGCCGCGGCGCGTCGACACCGTCCGGCCGACGATGCGGTGACGTCGCGCGCGCCTATCGAACCGCGCGAGCGACCCTGACGGCGATCCCCGGAAGCACAGTCTCTCACTCGATAGCCCCGATAGAGCGGACGGAGGGCCGTCGTTTTGTCTGGCGCACGACGGGGCTTTTAGCAATATGGCGAAGTGTGTCACGGGGGGCACGGTGAGACGTAGTGCCGTTTGAGAGGATGACAAGTTCGCGGTATGGGTTGAGAATAATGTAGCGGTGACGTGCGTATCGTGCGAGAGTCCGACGTAATCGTGCACGTAAACTGCGTCGTCGTCGAGCGGGTTGTGTGTTCGCCCCCGGTTACGGTGATTACGGGATACGAGAGTGTGCTGCGCGCCTTCGTCGTCGCCGCTGCCGCCGTCGCCGCCGGTGTGTGCAGAAGTCATGGCTACGGATAAAATAAAGGTCGCCGTGCGGGTACGGCCGTTCAATCGCAGAGGTACGTAAGGGTCATCCTCCCGAGCGAGTTTCCCTCGTGCGACGTCGTGCTCTACGACGACGCGACGCGCCTCGTCTCTTCTCTCTCTTTCTTTCATTCTCTTCTTTCCTTTGCTCTCTTCTCCTCTCGTCTCCTCGCCGCGCGCGGGCACCCCGGATCGAAGAGACCGAGGGTCTCTACGGAAAAATGCGATCGACCTTCGACACCGTATCGCGAATGAGCGAGCGAGCGCTGCGATGACGCTCCTCGTGTGACAGCCCGTGACACGGCGTGTTTTCGTCCACCTGCTCGATCGCCTGCCTTGGCCCGTGATCGTCGCCTTAGCCGTCTGCCTGCTCATTCACTCGCTCGCCCGCTCGCTCGATCGGCGCCGTCATCGCGACCGATCCCCTTATCGTTTTATCGAGTCGCACGAATCGCCTCGGGCAAACAGCCGCGCGCGATTGTGATGACGCACGCTCCGCGAACCCAACGACGAACGGCCACTCCGCCGAGCAGCGACATCGAGGGCGATCTCGACCTTCGCGAAAAGTCGAAGGCCCGTCTATGTGTGCGTGTGCCGCGAGATTCACGGCGGATCTCTCCCTCCCTCCTTTTTCTTCTCTCTCTCTCTCTCTCTCTCTCTAACGTAAGCCTTTGTCCCGTTGGTTGCACTCAGCAAAGACAACGGTTGTACGACCGTTGAGTAAACATTACCTATGATTGGTATGTACCTTTAGATCCCACCAATCATATTCGTCTACTAAAAGTTGATCACTCAATATCAGACCTGTTCGATTTAGCTGAGCTAAAATGTTGCACCGAAACTCCGTTCTTTCTCCCTTCATCGCCAGCTCGTACGCTCGTTTCATTCTCAAGTCGAAAAGCGCAATCCGCTTCGGCTAAAGCTGGGTGTACACCGAGCGAACGAACAGGGAACAAACAGCGAGTTCCAGGTTTTGTTTGAACAACCTGAAAAATCTGTACGTGGTGGCGAATCCGAACAAAACATTTCGGTGGTTTCTAAGTGGTTTAATTTCGATATGTCTCATAAAGTAGTTCACCGGAGAAAGCTCGCACGCGTTCAGGCACGAATGCACTCACCTTCGCCGTCCCTTCGTTTGCTCGCTCTTAGTGTACACCGATCTTTGAACGAACAAACCTATTGTGTCTACCGAACGCAGCCTCTGACACGAGCACGCGTGGCTGCCCGGTCGCGCGTATCCACGGTACGCGGACGCAGCTCCGTCGGAAATCCCTCGACTTCCGAGGGGGCTTTCGCCAGCTAGAGGCTCGGGGAACGAGACTCGGACCCGTAGGAAAAACAAACGATTGGCGCGCGCGCGCGCGTGTTCATCGCCTCGCTCCGCCTGCGTGTGTATATATGCGTTGTAAAAACACGGCTCCCGTGCTCGCTCTCGGGCTCGCTGCCCTTGTCGAACGCGCGAATCGTATGACTCTCTCTCCGGGCCGCGATAACGTCACTTTGGCGGCGGAGTAACCACCTCTCTCTCTCTCTCTCTCTCTCTCGGTAGTCCGGAGACCCGAGGAACGAATTTGACGACCCCCCTCTCGCGTCACGAACGCGAAATCGACGCACCTGAGACCCGTCGCAGCTCACCCGGTGCTGATTCTCGTTACTCAACGACTCTCCGCCCGATAACTCTTTCAGTCCGCCTAACGAGCCACGAATCCGCCAGGCTACGACGACCGACGGACAGCCCAGGGCGCGCGCGACGTGCGGTAGGCAAGAACGGGCGAGAAAAAAGGACGGAAGGAGGAAAACAAGGTTACTCCGTAATCGTGTCGTCAATATTTACAGATTCGCGTGCAACGACGCGACCGTCGGAGCACGTCCAGCGTGCAAAGAGGAGGCGATTCCTCTCGTTAGTCTCCCGTAAGAGGAGGAGGACTCGTTCGCGATCGGGAGACCGGGCGATTTCTCTTTCCTTTTCTCGTCCTGTCCGACGGCAGAAATCGGATTCGCGAGTGCCGCGTGCGTGACAGAGCGCGAGAGCGTAACAAAGCGTGAAACGCTCCGGTGACGCGGCGGCGGTGACATTAAGTCCGACGACCTTGGGATATCGAATTTCCATCGGGCCGATCAGACGGAAGCATGTCACGCCGCGTGTTTCCCGGCTTGTAATTGACGGCTGAGGAGGCGGCTATCCTCTTCGATCGGAGGATGCTGCCGTTCCTCGCTGATCTCGCCGCAAGGTCGAGGCGTCAGCGCGCGAGGCGACACACGTGCGCGCTCGCTCGCTCTTCGGCATAACCGTACGCGCGCGCACACACACACACAAACACACGCAGTCGGCGGATTAAAGGTTGTGACATTTTTGTTCGACGAGTTTCGCAACGCACGCCGTTCTCCAATAAGAAATTTTGTTTTCTAGTTATCCTCGGGAGGTACGTTCCCTTAGTGGATAGGAGACACGTGAAACTGATTGAAAAAAAGCGCGCTGCAACCTTTAATCTGCCGAGTCTTGAAATTTTAATGCTACTTTGGGGTTTTTAATCGTCGAACGGTAAGGTCGGGTCAGATCGACCCCGCGGATTAGTTTATTTTACGCGCTGTTCCTCTTCTCAAGGATTATTTCACGTTATTATTTACTTCTTTTGCCTATTTTATATATTGTTTACATAAAAAATGAACAAAACAGAACATGGGGTCGGATCCAATTCCACTTTCCTGGATTCGTTGAAAATCCATCTTGTCGTTGGAGAGTTAAGGACAGCTTGCGCGTATTTTAGGGGGAAGGTGACCTGTGGACTAAAAAAAAAATCTACTTTGACGATAATGTCACTTATTAACCTCTCTCTTGAACCTTTACTCATACAAATTTAATTTTAACGCTGCCTTGAACAATATGTTTTGATGTTAAAATGGAAAACGAAATTAAGAGTTCAATTAATATATTAAGAGATCGATATTAAGAAATAATTTTAGAATTAGAACGAATTTAAGACATTATGTAAAAGGTCCAAAATAGGAACCAATTATATTATTAGAATTGAAATTGAACCTATTTTGCTTAGTTCCTATTGTGTTGTAAAATTAAAGATTTAACAGGGCCAAAATTTGACTCAACTATACGTGGAAATAGTGTCGAAATTTTAATGCAACTTTGACGGTCTTACGGATACTTTTACATTTACTTAGATAATCTGTATCCATTGAAAAATGGATGTGATAATAAGTATTAAAATTTGATGAATATTTACCGACCATATATTTGATTACTGCAACCAATTTAGCAAATAATTTAATTCCGCATACTATATATACAGCACCATACTTCCGTATATTATATATTTAAAATACGGAACTAATCAAATCCTTTTCCCAGAGATTAGTAAAAACCTACTTTGATCGTACTATACTTATCTTTTCTCTTGAACCTTTAATATCCATAAGTCCTGATCTACAATAAGTGCTTTAAACTTTAAGAAATTGACCAATCACGGTTTAATGCGAAGAGAACAATTAACTATGATTAGTCAATTTCTCAAGGCATAAAATATTGTAGACCGGGACTGGTTTTGAACAAAAAACAACGAAGACGAATTTAAAACATCATAATGGTCACAGTAAAAGTAAACTGTCACTAGAGTGTTGAACTTAATTTGCTACCATAATTCCTACTGTGTGTAAAATTGAAGGTTTGACGTAGGGTGAAAATGTCGACTCGGGAAGGTGGATAAAAGTCGCATAGAAACCTCCACCGCCGCGATTCCCGCCTCTCGTTAATTATGACATCGCGGAAGCGACACGGAACGCCTCGATGTGCGATACGGAGCCGTCTGGAATTGCGTTCGCGCTTTCGCGCGAATTGCATTAGGATAACGCACCGCTCGCCTCGCGATGTGTTCGGCTCGCGGTGCGATGATTCGATGAGAAGCCAGCACGCTGGCTGATTTCATCGCGAAAGCGCATCTCGCGCATTTATTTTATGCGTGCGAGCCACCTGCGCGTGCACGCACGCGTCGGGTTTTTTCAGCGCCGACGCCCGACGCTCGTGACGGATCGCGCGAGGTGCAGCCGGCGATGAGGATAACGATTGTGCGATAAGATTGCGTAATTTCCCTTTTTCCTCCTTCTCTCCTCATATCTCTCTCTCTCTCTCTCCATCCTTCGCTTGCTCACATATTAATCGTCAATCTTTCGCGCTTGTAAGATTCAATTCACACGGGCGCGTCGTAGCCCGTAGCCGTGTTTCTCGTTATTCAACAGCTCGTTGCCCGAGACTTCCCTTTTGAAAGCTTGACAATTGCGGCTTAATGAGCCACAAGTTACCTATATTAGGCTAACACCTCCATCACGAAAAAATTGAAACACCACCTATATAGGAATTAAGTGCCTTTTATACGTACTAATTATGTGCTCTGTTCCCGATTTTTGTGCCCAAATGACTTGCCCGAGTCGAAATTTTAGTCCAACACTGAATCTAATTAGTTCAACCTCAAGTCAGTCTTCAAAGGTTCTCTAGTATTCTTCTTTGATGGTAAAAATGCGAAGTTATATTCTTCACCCGAAGACCCGACGTATAACCAAGGTAGACTTAATATAGGATTAAAATTTCGACTCGGTTAGCAGAACGTCGCGATTAAAAATGCGAGTGCTGGCTCAACGCAAAACCACAAGACTCCGCAAGTCACTTTTCAGGCTTGTCGAGGCCTCTCTGCTTCTCGAGGCCTCCTCGATTTTTCCTCCGAATATTACAAGTTTTCACACGAGTGACTGAATTAAACTTATCGCCCGGCATGTGATTCCGCGTTGGTAATGATAGCGACGGCCGGGAACCGTTAACGCGGTACGCAAGGGAATATGCTAGCGTATTCCTAGAAAGTCGGCCGCGCGTTGTATCTGCGATCGTTTTTTCTCCCCGCTGATAATGAACGGTACGAGCGATACGGTAATTATTAATCTAATGCGTCGTGGATTTTCGCGGCGGGACGGTTACGACAGATCCGAAAGAGCGAGCACGTCGAATACGTTCGTACATCGTACACGTGTATGA